AAGATTTCATTAGTAAGTGAAGGCAAAGAAAACGTTGAGTTTTTTATAATACTAACCTTCAGTGAGAAAAAAGTAAGTAAAGTGACCACAGCAAATAACATCTTCATGGTTTTTGTAAGAGAATTATGGTTGGCTTCGTATTAAACGAGTATTAGTTCCTTTCCAAAGTTGCCTGGATATGAAAATAGTCAGGATTATGTGATTAATGGACAAAATCAAATAGAAGCATTAAATAAATAGGAAAACTGAAAGAGAGAGATGATGAGAGAAGCTCAAATAAAACTCTCTGTCTTAACAAAGAAGACAGAAATGCTGAGAGGCAGATTGATAACTAGTATCTAATATGTTCCTCCTCTTTCAATTTAATCTAATCCTTGTATTACATCAGAGTTCCATATGAATTTTTCACGCTCATGCAAGGTCAATGGTATTGGTCAATGGAAATGGTATTAGCCAAGTAAGATCTTTTGAGAAGAAGAATGTAAAATTTCATTTTCTGGACATTTTTGAGTGATTTTTCTTGATATTAAATTGCCAATCAAACTTTTGAGAAATAAGAGATCGACTTTTGCAGTTTTGATTCAGGATATCATACGAATAAGGAAACTTGATACAAAATAACGAAAAGATGATTTTTCAAGAGCTGATTTTTTCAGATTAATCAGGTTTAAGGTACATTTTGGGCCATAAGAAGATAAATAAGAAGGCACATAAGAAATGTAAACAAGCTTAGATGACAGTCAATCAATTAATAAACCACAACAGCTATTCATTTGTAATGAAAATATGTGAATGGAGTGTATTCTTACCTGAGTGAATGATTAAAAAACTGGATGGTAAAACAAGTAAAAAGACTGAAACTTCAACAGGATAAAATCAGTTATCGGGATTTCGCTTTGATCATAAGGCTTTGTTTGAAATGATATTCACTCACAAAATAACCAAAACTGGGCTGAATAGGAGTAAAGGAATTATGGACACAAAGAATATAAAAGAAACTGTTCAAGAAGTAAGCTCATTCAGAAAAAACGAGTAAACCCAATCAGCGATTAAGCATTTCAGTGTTATACAAGTTTTGTTGTCCAAATATTGTCCAAATGTAGTATTAACGCAACTTGAAGTGTAAACAAAAGCTACTTGATTATTAACAACCAGGTGGAGTTAACAGTTCATGAAGTTAAAGCTTTAAAGACGGACTGGTTATTATTCATAGTAACCAGTTACTTGAATACTCTAAACGGTTTCTTCATGGTAAGCCTATTCAGAGAAATTCAGACACGTAAATTTGTGAGTTATTTCTTCAATGAATGAAGAACAATAGAAATTTCTGTTTTTGATTCTCAAATCTCGGCGATTTACAGTTTTTAGAGTCACCGCGTAAACATGTAGCCAAGTAACTGGTTACTTTATGCATTGTCGATAACTCTTTGAGGCTATCGATCTATTGTTTCGTGTCTCCACAAACTTAGACGCTGCAAAAGTACATTTGAGAAATGTGCCACATTTGGCGGAGCTCACACAGCCTTCGTCAGGAGATTGACTATAAATTGGACACACAGACCTTATGTTTTGTAGATGATTTTGGGTCTCACTAAAAAACCAAAGACGACCAAAAAACCAAAATAACCAAAACACAACCAAAATAACCAAAATGTACCAAAACAAGGTAAATCTTTCGATTTATGATTTGGGACTTTAGGGGGTTTGTAGGGACACAAAAACTGAGTCCTTTAGTGCTATCAAAAAATTTCTGTGATGGACAGTTTTCGAGAAAATTGAAGTTGAAATAACAACCGCGAAAGCCTGTTTTTCACTTATTTAACCAGATTTTTTCATCAAAATCATGTTATTGGAATAGTGTTTTAGAATAGGCCTGAAACTATTTTTTATCGATAAAACTCGTGAAATAACATGATTTTGATGAAAAAATCTGGCTAAATAAGTGAAAAACAGGCTTTCGTGGTTGCAACTTCAACTTAAATTTTCTCGAAAACTGTCCATCACAGAATTTTTTTGATAGCACTAATGGACCCTTTTTTGTGTCCCTACAAACCCCCTAAAGTCCCAAATCATAAATCGAAAGATTTACCTTGTTTTGGTACATTTTGGTTGTGTTTTGGTTATTTTGGTCTCATTTTGGTTTTTTGGTCGTCCTTGGTTTTTTAGTGAGACCCGATGATTTTGAATAAAACGGAATGAAAACTCTTGAGAATTAAGTGAATTTGAGAATAGTCTATGTTTATTATTACGAATAATTCGCTTATTATCGAGTAGTACAAAGCAATACAAATATGAACTCAAATGGCTTGAGGAAAATTCTGCATCTGTCCAGAACAGGCATTTATACTTTCAGGAAGTAGATTCTGTCGCACATAATAATGGAGTGAGAAGACTGAGTCTTATCTGTAAACACGGTCATCCAATGCCATTAACCAGCCATCGTTAACTTGGTTAAAACCACTTTGGGTTCCCATCAACAAAACTTATTAATTCCTCATCAAAATCGTCATCATCACCCATATTGAAACACAAAAGAGAATGAGAGGCAGAACTACTAACACTCATCATCTTTCAAATCTAACAAACACAAGATACATCGTTGGATTCACGGTTGTCACCCAATAGACAACATCGTTCAAATAATGCTGGAAATCATCTCCGAATGGTATATTGGTTAGATGCACTGCATGATTACTCATGAAAGGATCACCGAAACATCCTCGACATGCGTAAATATGCTCTAAATTAAATAAGCGGCTATCACAAAATTCAGCGAATTCACTGGCCACTCATGAATTATAAACAGATAGAATACCCTTTCATAAGTGTCACGAGTATTATCGATGACGCCACCATACTTAACTAAGCTCGGAAAGAGACTATAAGAAAGACGAAAAATGGCCAAAAAAGGCAACCACCGATCTGGATCTGGCCCTTCAGCAGAACCATCATCAGTGGGTCGAATCAGACTCAAATAATTGATCAACACGGTCCTCACAAAGACTGGTAAATAACACGAAGGTATATTAGCCAAGCTAGAATTTGAACACAACATACATAAACTAACCAAAACTTAGCTACAGAAAAAATAGGACACAATGGTTAATTAAAAAATGGGCTGATAAACTGAGTATAACTGAAAAAACTAAACATGATAACCTCAATGAAATCACGAGTGGACACTTAGTGCGATAGGGACAGCTTATATCGATAGCCGCTCATTATCGAAATCACGAAATCAACACTTAACTACAAACAACTCGGTCATCAACAGAAACTACTGAGCGTATGATATTATGTGTACCACCCTCAGCGAATGTAGATTGAGACTTCAGAGCAGAACTCACCAACCTCTCGATAAAAAATTGAAAATCTTCGGAAAATCCCATAATAACTAAGAACTACACCTTTGTTCTCGTACCTTATACATATTTCATGATTCAGAAAGCACCACTTTACACACACAATTCCTGAATAATGCAAACATTGTATCAAACCTAACAAGCATAGAAAAATTGAACAAAGATAATCTAACAAAGAACGACGATATAAACAACAAATAGGTGGCTGAGTTGAAAGATGCTTGCTATAAGCATGTCGATTACCGAAAACGAAACAGGAAGGATATTTGCATCAACATGAATAAGAATGCGACAAATCATCAATCACATAAAAATACAAATATAGCAGTTATCCAGGAAAATAGTCGATTGCATAGGGATTGCATAAAGACGGATTATATTGTTCAACAAGATATGCATGTTTAACTTGTAGAGATTGTTGATTACTTACATTCATTATAAACCAGTGGACAATACATTATTTATTTCATTAACACTATCATTACCTCATTGAATCAGTCTGTTGATTCAATGAATGTGTGCCAAATATTCAACATTTCTTCAGTGCATCTACCTATTTATTTCAAGTGTATCTGTGTAACTGTGTTTCACTTGTGCATCTAACATTCGCCTTCACATTAACTTGGATTGATCTCTATTTCATCTTTTTTTAAAACCTATTGTTCAACGGACAACATGAAACTGTTTCACCATTCAACACCAAATGAACATCCTCACCAGAAAGACAAAACAGCGGTTTTTCCTTATCAACTTGATACAAGTATAGCGCCTTCAACCAAAGGAAAGAGTGATAAACTAGTTGATTGCTGGTTAAACATGGCTCCAACCATTTTAATTAGTCCAACGAACCAAGATGACGGAAATAATTTTGTATCAAACGATATTTCTGAATCAGTTAATCCTCTGTCGCCAAACAAATCTAATCTCTCGTCTGATAACACTCTTATGATCATCAACACTGACACTAATAACATTAACAACAACAATAATAATAACATTAATAGCTTCAATAAAACGAGGAAAACAAATTGGATTCAATTATCTGGTCACGAGAATACCTTTGCATTTGGTAGTCCAGGAATCTTGTATAAAAAATGTAAATCTGATGGCAATGAAGCTCTTGCCTACAAATCACTAATGGAAGAAGCAACTATGAAACCTTTTGTACCTAATTTTTACGGCTGCCTAACCGTCAACGGATCATGTTGCATTGCCATTGACAATCTATTATACCATTTTGACAATCCCTACATTATGGATATCAAAATGGGATCAAGGACTTTTCTGGAGGACGAAGTTTCAAATGGTGAACCAAGAGCAGATCTGTATGAGAAAATGATTAAACTGGATCCTAGTGCCTTATCTGAAGCAGAGAAACAAGTCAAGGCGATAACCAAATTGAAATATATGCAACTCCGGGAGCAATTGAGTTCCTCCTCAACTTTAGGATTTCGTATTGAAGCATTCAAGGTGAGCAAGTCAACCATGTTTGTGTAAACTGTGAGAATAACAAAACTAGGCTATTATGGTTATGACAGGGACTATGTACACCGTGTACCGATGTGAATCTACAAAGTTTTTTCGAATAAATTTTTAATGCATCAATCAATCAGTTTCAAAATTTTTGAGCACATTTTATTCGCAAAAAATTAATGCATTACAGCTTCAAAGTATGAACCTTCATTGGCGACAAAAAAGCTGATTTTCACACAAAAGTTGTCATTGACAGAGACCGGAGGATCGCCTGATATGCCATCTATTATACTTTGTATGAGATATTTGAGCTTCTCAATGGTTTGAGGTCGATGGACAAATTACTTGAATATTTCTACAATAATTTTTTCAAAGTTGATGCTCGTTTTCCAAGACAGATTTGGAGTGTTTACGAATTGAATGGCCCTAGAACGAATAACCACAAGGATGGCACAATTGCTGCAATTTAGACACCAAAATAGCTCATCCAAATTTGTGGATCTTCATCAATGGAAAAAAGAAGCAACAAGCTAACTTTGAAACGAAATTAGTTTTACAAAGTCATGGAGAAATAGTGATAAAGAAAAGCTCAAAAAGAATCAATGATAAAAAGAAGTTCGATAAATGGAATGAAAAATATGTGAATCAGAGCATTACAGCAATGGAATTTTTAGATGCAATTAAATTGTTCTAATAATAATGCAATCTTAATCAAAAAACTCAAATTGAGAATGAAAAACCTCTTCAATGAACTGAACTGAAAATAATGCAAATAAAATCTGATTCTTCAATCGAAAAAATCCTAATCTAATTTTATCAAAAACCAATCAAACAATCAATCGACATCATAAACAAATTCATCGTGAAAATATCATCGTCAAAATAAGAAATCCAAAAGTCAAATCTTAAGATTTTTGTCACATAAATAATATTAATCTTGGAATGAAAAAAACCATTGTCAAAATAAGAAATCCAAACTCGAAAGATAATTTTACATATACTCCTAAAATGCCTTTCTAAAGGAGTATAAATTACCAAAAATGTAAAAGTAAAAAGCATACTTTGCATTTGTTTTGGATATTTTAGAATGGTATGTTTTTGAATAGGACTTCTCTTATTGGATATTTTAAGGAACTCTCATCTGCAAATGGCGAACCCTTCCACTATTGTAACTTATCCAAGCGTAATCTGCTTAATATCGCGTAGTGAAAAGCAACACAAACACATACCAAAAAGTGCTCCTACCATGCGCTGATTGTACGTATCAACAAACTATACAGCCATGAACGGCATCCATTTGGTTTCACAATGTTAATCACGAGTGTAGGGAAGAAAAGAGTGCTTCATTCGCATATCCCAAAATGTTATTGATAAAATGATGTAAAAATTACAAGGAACATGCTTGACGTATTTCTCGAACTGTTCGGGAGATCCTCACAAAAACCTGGAGAAACTGCATCATTTAAATGACTATGAACAATGAAACAAAACTGGTTGATAAAAGATATTCAATAAGTACAAAGCATTCGGTGAGTAAGTGGTGTTATGGCCCATCATGTCCGGATAGGTTGCACAGAGATGTTCAACTAACAAACAACACTTTCATTTTTTTCAGCTACTATATAATTATTTGTGGACTGAAATTTTTCGGTAGGAAACCCTGTAACTTTTGTAAAAGTGCGTATCAGCAGCTAAAAATAAGACTCTTTATCTATTCGTCGAGCGCTTCCGAATGAGCTATAGAACATTAAAATCGGTTGGTATCAATTCGTGAAGTTCCCTTGTAAGTTAGGCACAAAGAACAAGAATCATAAGTAAACAATTTTCTCCATGACCTCTTGTCATTGATGTCAATTCTTGCAACAGATATCAAATAATATCAGTAAGATTACCAGATTCGTAAGATTTTGCAAATCATAAGTAAAATGTTGATGGGTAGGGTTTCAAAATAAAAATAATAACCACATGAGCATTAATGTGAAAACGGTTAAAGAAACTGAATCACCGAAATGTTCAAACATGTGGCTTTATTTTAATGCATGATCCATTAAAATGAAATAATAATTTCAATTACTTAATTACAATTTAATAAGTACCTTTTTAAAAGAGCTTGCCAGTTCTATGTAAAAAGCATGGATAGAAAAAAATTCATTTACACTTCAGAGCCGAAAATGTTATACAAGATAATTTGTCACAATATAAGGTCCTCTAAAAAAGGAGAAAATTCAGTTTCTCTGAAATTATTTTTTATCTGCTTCTTGAATAGTTCCTTCTTTTCCTTTCAAAACACACCATCTAAAAGTAAAAATTAGCCATTTCAATGAATGAATGTTGTATAATTGATTATCAGTTTCTGTCATGGGTTAACTTTTATATGTACCTGTCATAACAATAATACCATAATAGTTTTGTTATTCTCACAGTTTACACAAATATGGTTGACTTGTGTAAAAATGTTCAATAGATTGTCAATGGCAATGCAACATGATCCGTTAACGGTTAGGCAGCCGTAAAAATTAGGTACAAAAGGTTTCATAGTTGCTTCTTCCATTAGTGATTTGTAGGCAAGAGCTTCGTTGCCATCAGATTTACATTTTTTATACAAGATTCCTGGACTACCAAATGTGAAGGTATTCTCGTGAGCTTTATTTCCATCAGAATCGCATTTTCGTGAACACGATTTCGCGCACGTTTTTCGAACCAAATTTGCATTTCGATTAATTGGTACAATGTGATGGAGTGTGATCATAAGAGTGAAATTGTTCACATGGATGAATGGGCTGGCGAAAATATTTGGTTAATGCCAGACACAGGCAGTACAGGTATAAGTGCCTCTAAATTGTACCATTATAGTGGAAAGTGTGTCTGATATCTCACTCGCCATCTTAAAATCAGTTATCGGGATTTTGCTTGCCAAATATTGTCCAATTGTCGTATTAACGCAACTTGATTATTAACAACTAGGTGGCGTTAATAGCTCATGAAGTTAAAGCTTTAAAGACTTTCTGGTTGTTAGTAACCAGTTACTTGAATGCTCTAAACGGTTTCTTCATGGTAAGCCTATTCAGAGAAATTCAGACCCGTAAATTTGTGAGTTATTTCTTCAATGAATGAAGAACAATAGAAATTTTCGTTTTTGATTCTCAAATCTCGGCGATTTACAGTTTGTAAAGTCACCGCGTAAATATGTAGCCAAGTAACTGGTTACTTTATGTATTCTCGATGACTCTTTTAAGCTATCGATATATTGTTTTCAAAGCTATCGATATTGTCATTGCATTATTGTTTACAATTTTTGTTTTCGTCCAACTGTTGGACTCCAACTTAAGTTTTTTTGTTTATTTTTTATTAGCAAATATGAGTATTTCCTACAAATGGACCTCTTCATGTATTCGTAAATGTTTTATAGATTTTTTTGTTAAAAATCACCAGCATAAACTGGTACCCAGTAGCTCTGTGATTTCATCTGACCCTTCATTATTATTTAATAATGCCGGAATGAACCAATTCAAAGACATTTTTATCGGTAACATCTCACCTAATCATCCATACAGTGAACTTAGACGTGCTGTTTCTAGTCAAAAATGTATTCGCACTGGAGGTAAACACAATGATTTAGATGTTGTAGGCTACGATTTGACGCACCATACTTTCTTTGAAATGCTTGGAAATTGGTCTTTCAATAGTTATTTTAAGGTAAAACATTAATCAATCACTGTACAATCTTGTGATTCAAATATTTAGTGTAAATTATGTAACATTATTTAGCGAGCCAAGTTTTTAAGTTATGTTGATAGCAATGTGGTTTTTTTCATTCTAATTTTATGTTTTCTTACAGAAAGAAGCTTGCACTATGGCTTTCGAATTGATTACCAAAGTTTATAAGTTGCCTTTAGACAAGCTTATTATAACATATTTTGCTGGTGACAAGACACTATCATTGCCCGCTGATGAAGAAACGAAAGAAATTTGGTTGTCACTTGGGTAAGGGTTCGATCAAAATGGCAGTTTAAACCTTAATACGTTTGTATAGTTTTCCACAGAATCGTATTTTACCTACGAATGAAAATTTTTGGGAAATGGGTGAATCTGGACCTTGTGGGGTTTGTTCCGAGATCTATTTTCAGCTTGATCCATCTACATTTTCTCTTGAAAAATGTGTTGAGATTTGGAACATTGTTTTCATACAATATTACAAGTAAGTCAATCATCCAAAGAATCTTGGAAAGTTACTAAATAAATGATTTTGTTTGTTTCCAGAGATGAATCCGGGATTGTAACAAAGTTACCAGCAAATCATGTAGATACTGGGATGGGTTTGGAACGAATGGCATCGATTTTAAACAATGTCCCTTCTAGTTATGACACAGATCTTTTTCAGCCTCTACTCACAACAATTTCAACGGTGTGTTGCATGAATTGTCGGATTTTGTGTTGGATTATTAATTTACAAATTTTAGAATACATTAGACGCCCAAATCTCGGCCTTATCAAGGATCTCTACAAGATAACTCAGACATAGCCTACAGACTAGTAGCTGTCCTTTCTAGATTGATTACACCATCTCTTTAAGAAGACTCTAAGCTTGGTCCGAAAGACCATGGACCTCATTTTCGACATATCGTCGTAAAACATTTGTTCATCTAATAAGATTACGAAATCCAACAGCAATTGAAGGTACCAAGAACTTTATACACAGGTAGGAATTTTTATTGATTATGTTTACAGAGCATCCAACGTCCAAATAGCTCGAATATGCCTCTCGCAGGTTAAGATATGTCCTGGGTGT